ACCACCCACCGCCAACTCTTGGGCTATTCTTTTACCAACCAATAGTGGGATTGACCGTCACATTATAACACCCCCACGGCTGAAAGGGCGAGCATGTTTGGTGTGACGGGGATTCGAACCCGCGACCCACAGATTGCGAGTCGAGTGCCCTAACCACCTGGTCATGCAGGGCAGGAAAATTGAAATGGCTTTCAAACTCATGAAAATTGGAATATGAATAAAACATTGAACAATTCCCCTGGAACATATCCAAGAATCCCTGAAAGCTTTCTGGTGGCCAGAGGCTAGAAAATTGGGGCGTTAAATAGGGATCTGTCCTCAATTAAAAAAACAAAAAGGCAAAAAACACCACATTTTGATCAGTTTTTTTTTTCGTCGGGTAGCGCACAAAATACAGAGCTTAAATTAATAAGCCTGGCATAGATTTACTTGTAATTGCAATGTCTGAAATAACTAAACTAGAAGTATTCAATACTAGCTCAGAATTATTTACATATTTCAGCACTGTGTTAAATATGTTCCGAAAAATAAGCAAAAACATCCACGTTAAATGGTCTCCTCTGAAACAAAGGTTTTATTATTTGTTGCTCGTGCGATATGTCACTAGAGAGTTCACTGAACTGTCAAGTGAAATTTTTAAAGATTTGTTTGTTTGTTATTAAGCACAAAGCTGCACTGATGTATATCTATAATCTATGTTGTGCCCACCACAGGTATCCGATGTTTTGTGTTATAATCCGCAGACTTACCACCGGGCCACTGGGGATTGTTAAAGGTTAAGAACATGACGAGACAGTAAAGATAAATACATAAGTTTACAACTTACAAATAGTGGACGTGAACGATATATACAACAAGGTAATGATGCATTGCAGACACGGTAGAGATTGAGAAATGCTAAACCTTGGCTTAAATGAAAAGTATTGACTGTGGTGTTTGGTAAGAATGATACATCTATTTTGGTGAAATTTAAGCAGTTATTGTACAACGGATTTTGGCACATTCTCATAAGTTTGTGTAGAAGGTAGTAAATACCTGAAATTTAGTAAGTTTAAGACAAACAAGTTTGTACAAATATGATAGTGAACAATGTACACAAAATTTTATTTTTAAATTTATTAATCACATTCATGTCATATGATTTTTGTTGAGTATTGGTCAGTACTTAGCAATTTATATGCTTATTTATCTTAACACATCTCACCGCCACTCTTATAACTCACCCACGGCCTCAAAGTGTGTAGTGCGATTTTACGGCATCCGGACGCGAATCATGAACCGTCGGATTCACAGTCCGGCACGCTAACCATTAGGCCCACAGTAAGAAACATCTAACTTTTAGACTTTTAATGGAGTTTGTTTAATCAGAATCATGAACTATTTCCCGGTAGACCCGCAATAAGTTTATGGATTTAAAACATTAAAATCCGGGATTCGGTTCCCAGTGGTGGAAAGAACGTAGAGAGCTCACTGTGTAGCTTTGCGCTGAAACAGAAACAACAAAGAAACAAACGTGAAATATGATTCATGTCAAGCAGTGGCGAATACTTAACCAGTTTTTATTCTTATTTGTATTATAGCATACAAACTGAGTTTTATCACATCTTTTGCCATAGCGGAGGAACACATTAGTGGAAGTGCAGTAAGAAATAGTTAAGGTCAGATTAAGTTCGATGAACAGGTTTTATGTGTCATCCTGGAACTTTCAAAAAGAACACGATTTTGAAGGATATCATAAAGATTTTGAAATATTAAAATTTCGAGTGATGCACGTTAAAGTTATAATTATTTAATCTAAGATTTTAATCTGGTCGATTAATAAAATGGTATTCAATATCATTATTATACCAGCAGTCATAAATAAAAAGATGGAAAATATTAACGTTGTGTTATATTTTGATAAGGAAATCTGGTAAACATAACGGTTGATATTTCAGCTTAGTTTATTTATTGACTTAAGATGCGTCAAGTTGTTTGACACAATGTGAAAAGTTACATTTGTTCAACAGTATCATGTTAGTACATCAATCTAATTTTAATACTAGAAATAAACAGCTTTATAACACAGTTTTATTATTTTTCTTTAATTGGACACAACGTTCTACTTTACAGCTTCTTCAGAGCGTTCCATTAACACACAAAGCATAAGCTTCAAATTATTTAAATAATAAATTATAATCGAATCTATAACGTTCATTTGACATATTAAGTAGTAAAGTTCATTGTTGAAAGAAACGTATTGTTGAAATATTTAACTGCTGTTTGTAATAAACAAAAGCTCTATCAAAGTTACAGATTTAATAACAAAAGATAAGATGAAAAAATAAATAAATATAAGCTTCATCCTTTGTTCCTATTCATCTGTGGTCGTAGCTGTTTATTTCCAGTATTAAAATGTCTTTTATGCATCAATATGCATTACAGAAATTAAATAATGAGACATCAGTCTCATTGCAAGAATGAATCAGTGTCACCTAACTTGTTTTTTTAAGCTTAAGTAGAAATACAAGGTTTTATATATATATAATCTATTATTTATTAAACAACAAACGGCAACAACAGAAATTTACTAACTAGATGAAATAATAAGCGTTTGATGATCGACATGCCATGAATGAAAAATGTATTTGCACACACACACAAAACCAAACAAAAAACGTTAAGCCTTGTATCACATCATGCGATCTTAAGTTTTGAATTAACTGTAAAAATGCTCAACATATTATTGTCTTCTTATTATGTTTAAAAAAGAAAATTACTTAAGTTACCCCAAAAAATGTACAACATTTTATCAATTAGAAAAATGTTTCAAAATGTACGCAGTTTTTGATCGGGTATGTATATAGAAACCTAATACAAGTCAACAGTTTTTAAATAATATATTTGTATTTATGACAAAGCTATTAAATATATCTGCCGCCATCCCTTATTTTGAACTACTCACCAAAAGGAAGGCAGCCAATCAGCAGCACCCTACCACCAACCATGAAGATAAGGGATGTCTGTTACTCTTATAACACAATCACAGCTTAAATATTTTGTGGTATCGCAGGGATTTGAATCTGACTTGCCAGCTATGAAGTCCAGAGCCCTACCTACGGGAACCACCTACACTTCTTGGATAACACTTCCCTAACGAAAGTTGGTCTTCTAAGAAAGAGTAATAATGATTATATCATTACGAACGTACGTCACACACGTCAGTAACTAGCTATGAAAACAACAAGGTTGTGTTTGTTTAATTTTAGAGTAAAGCCACATTAGGTTATCCGCTGTGTCCACCACAAGGAATCGAAACCCGGATTTTGGTGTTATAAGTCCGTAGACTTACCGCTGTCCCACTGGTGGACACGAGGTTGTGTCCTCGGTTGTTGTTGTTGTTATTTTTGCTTCGTCTACTCACAAACACTTATACGTATATATAACTGGAAGTCACAGCTTGAAACCTAAGTTTTACCTCGGTAGAATATTGGCTCTGGTTATGGTGATGATAGCACAAAACATCTATAGCAAGATTGGTCTATATCTACGTAACATCTGTGTCACTTTAAAAATACATTAAGTATTGCTCCTAAGGCTACTTTATAGTTCGTCTTCTAGAAAAAAATATTTGGCCGTTATTAATGAATATTATTTTTATCTAAATAACTATCCTATATTGCTATGATAACTCACTTCCTATTTATACAAGCGTAATGAACTCACAGCCACGCCATCTATCGGCTGGGGCGATAGTACTTACAAAGTCGCCTATTTAAACCTTTTGAATACAAATAAGTGATTTAGTGGAGGAATTGTTGACACACAGGATGAATTAGAGCAATTAGATGGTTTAGTGCAACCTGACTCTCATGTTGAGAGTGGTTAAGTTGACAATATATTTGGCCACTTTTAGGCCTAGCTCGTCACACGCATGCTAGGTCACAGAGTATACAAGAACAAGGAAGATTACTGTGAAATTTATATTCTTGTATCTGATGATAACACATATTATATGTTGTTAAAATTAGATTAGCATGTTATTTGTTGATAAAAAAAATGTCATCAGTGTGGTAAACAGTTAGGAAAGTAAAAAGCGCTGGAAAATTCGAGAGATGTAACGAATATTCCAAACATAAAGTAGTGCTCCTGTTATAAAACAGGGAAAGCTTATTCTAATAGATAATTAGTTTGTTTATCAAAATCACATAACCAACAACTGGCAATGACGCCACTCACTCTGTTAGATTTTCTTCAGATAAACAACGAACGTATTATATGTGTATACACACAAAAGCACTTTATATGGGAGAAGCAGCATATTTACTTTCTATCAAACCTGCCGTTTGGAGCGCTGCGGTTAGCTGTTTTCGGGCTGAGTGGGCCGTCTTAGCGGTATAGGGTCTTTGGTAATGCATTTGTGAAGCTGTAATTTAGAAAACACGTATAAATTAGTTAATAATAAAAGATCCAGGGTTAAGTGATTACTGAATTGCTAGTGATCAGGAAGTTCGACCTTTTTGACCTTTAATATTTTTAACCTCACCACGTTCAATAATTAAATATATTTATACTGAAAAGTATATCATAGTGTTCATATTGTGGTTTTGTGCTACATTTATTATATATTCGAAAAAAATTATAGCTCTTCTTACTTTAAAGCACGTTCGGTGATATATTTATGTTACAGTCATTGCTTAGACATGTGAGTAATAGAACTGCTTCGTTAAAACCTAGTTTTTTTAATTCATAAGTATTTCTGAAAAATTTGAACTTATCTAACCTAAATAAAATCCAGTGTGTGTCTGCCCATTACGACTTTAGTAACTGGAGTACAAGGGGGGGGGGGTGCCTTGAAACCTTATAAGTTTAGTGAGTGTTGGTATAATAAACCTAAAGTAAAGACGTAGTGTAGGATTAACTAACCAAGAACCAAGTGCATAAAATTTATCATGAAAGTAAAAATATCGATTCAATTTTAAACTTAAATCGTTTCTGAATTAAGCTATTTTCTGTTATATCATCAACGTTTTTAATTTTATAAAAACCTCTTTAATCAACGGAGACTTTAAATTAAGAAACCAACAAATATTATTCCAGTCTTGTTGTGTATACTTTCAGTAAATATATTAACAACAATATTAAGTTATACTTTTGTTGCTTAGCAACATGACATAAAAACCATTGTTGGAGGGTTACCAAAACGCACTGGTTTTCTATATATTAGAAGTTGTTAATGTAACTGATTTTTTTACCAATAATTATTCCATGAATACACCACGAATTCATTTCATGAATGATCTTAATTTTGATTGGCTCACAAAAGAACTTACCAACGTTTGACTGCCTCAGCTACACTTTTATGTCTTTTTGTTGGTTAAGCTTGATTTCACAAAATTTATTTATTTCAGTTAGCTATGAAATGTGAGGTTAGCGTATACTATGGAGGGGGGGGTAGTACTTGCCCCGTCATTTTTTATGGGTTATACGTTAGTCAAAGATAAAATAAAATTTCCCCTCTTTCGTCTTTAGAAATTATTCTATTGTATTCTTTACAAATTATTCTATTGTATTCTTTACAAATTATTCTATTGTAGTCTTTACAAATTATTCTATTGTATTCTTTACAAATTATTCTATTGTATTCTTTACAAATTATTCTATTGTATTCTTTACAAATTATTCTATTGTAGTCTTTGCCGATCAGCGAAGGTCTATAATGTAAAAATTATGCTAATCTGTTTAGTTATTAACACGAAAATGATCGTACTATATAAATTAGAAGAGCCAGTTAGAATCGTTATTTGATATACTGCATTTTGAATTCCAACGATAAAGGAACGATTCCGTTTTAATACGTATACCTAAAATAATGGTTCGTTAATCGTGGGTCACATACGATAATCCGATACACCATGGACCTCTACCTCTCGCCTTGCCTGTTGATTGGTTCGCGTGTGCCGTGGATGAAGTGCGTAATAATTCTTCTATAGAATTCGGCCCTGTAGCTAATAAAACCCATGATTACATCATGCTCACGTCGTTCAACATATCGTAACGCATCACTACAGACGATTACAGGTATCGGCTCAAATTTCGTCTATGTCACAACGAACTAATCTTGTTTCTTTTTTTTTTTCCCTTGGTATACCACGGCCCTTCTTAGAGCCAGAATCAACGAAGCAATGTCACAACCAACGACGTCAATCACGGGCGTCACTACGCGGTCAACGAGGGTTGTTCTTGACCAGGGGTCACCAAACTTTTTTCACAGCGGGCCAGATAACTGAGAGAATGACGAGCGAGGGCCGCATAACGATTTTGTTCAATACAATACAGTCAGTGAATACACAAAAATTAAGACAACAAACATGTTTATTTTCCAAAAAGTTATCAAAGAAGGCGTCGTCAGCAAT